TTCCCTGGACAAACAGATTCTCCAAAGGCAAATACACCTACATCAGGGTACTAGAAGCCTTCTTTACAAATGGGTAAGTCTAACATAGATTACATTGAAATTACATAAAATTCCCCAGGCCACATATCACCACCTTTCAATAAGGAACAGCTGAAAGATCTACAAAGTATCCCACCTATGGGAGAGGTTCAAGCCACAAAGTTCTGATCTAAATTGAAGTTAAATTTTGATATGCTTCAAAACACAATATTGTCAAGATCTTGTTTATCTCTCATGCTCTTCTTTTGTGCTATGCTTTAGAATACAAATCCAGGTGGAAAGGTATATGTGTGATGACTTTAAATCAGTAGTTTCAACAATCTCAAACAAATCTGAGATTTAGGCACGTTTTTGAGCAGCTTTTTTTAATCCGAAAGGCTTTGACTAAACTTAGCAGAGGGAAGATTGGCAACAATGAGAAAGGTGTCGGCATGAACAAAATGAGCAGCTTGTGTCTGGGCAGCCAAGGCTACAATTCATGTGTTGTGTGTTGACTGCTGCATGAACAATGATATTCTGTACAGCGCTTTAATATCTATGCTGTGTGTGCTGGATCTTGGAAGCTGGCTTGGAAGCTTGGAAGCTTGCATTGCTGCTGTAGAAGATACAAAAGGAAAGTGCTCAAGTTGGAGGAATTAAAGTTCTATAATTAGAAATGGGATGTTAAAATTACATGCCACGTGGCAAGCCTACAAAACTTGGCATGTGGAGAGCATATTCGCAATGATTTACAATTAACCATCACACTGCAAATCACTTCTTAGCTGTTTTCTATTATGAAATTTGGATTGTTGTAAAATGCATTTGTGCTACTTTATTTCCTTTTTAAATGGTAATTGCTACTGCTGAAGGGCAGTACTTAGTGCAGAAAACAAAGTGTGCAGCGTTGGGAAGAACTTGTTTCTGAGGAATTGCTGAGGAATTGTAATTATCTAAAAAACAGTGCTTTCTTGAAACACATACACACAGAAGAGCTTCATTTATGAAACTCCAACTAAATAAATAACAAAATAAAATAAAACAGTCCTTTTTTTTTGTGCAAGGGCCAATACTTACTACTTTGTTGCTGACTGCACTTTTTCCCCATCAAAGTGGGAACAGTGGATTGACACTAGTTAAATCTCATAAGCCAATGGCTCGAGGGAAATGCAGATGTATGGAAATGTGCTAGGAATGCCTACAGGTAACGGGTTTTGAGACAGTGTGTTTGAAAATTATCAAGTGTACTTCTAACCACTGCCCATTTTAGTATGTCAGTATGGAACTGACAGTGGTATGGCCCTGGGGAGCTGGATGAAGTTTGACTCTTGTCTCTGAGGCACAGAGGCTGTGCAGCCAAAGTGGAGAAAACAGGTATGTTCTAATTAAGTGGTGGTAAGATTGCGACATATAGCTTCCCCCTTGATTGTGGCTGCAAAAAAGACTATGTTATGAGTAGCTTTTATGGAGGGATATATTAAGGGAAACACAGAGTGAGGTTTCTGAGGTCTTAAATTTGCTAACTTGTGACAATAATCATAATCTCTCAGGTAATAAAGTAGGCCATCTAGCTTAGGTGCTCAGTTCAGAGTTAATATCTTTGAAAGCCAGACGATTGACTGTAATTTTGCTCATAGTGCTTTACTGGTAAGAGTAAATAAAACCATCTACAGCCCTTTTCATCAGAAGTGTCACAGTGCTTTCCACACCTTAATCAATTGATTTTTATGACACTTGGCATGGTTATTTCCCTTCTCTGCTGGAGGAACTGAGAGGATCAGGGCAGCAGCCAGAAAATATGCAGCGTTTAGTGCAACAGCAGAGACTCTTTGCAGGGTCTGGATCTAGAAGTGTGGCTTTCCAGAATTATTTTATAGTTAATGCAGAGAAGATAGTCATAATTTTCCTTTCATAAATGCACCTGAACTGATGTTGTGTCTTAGAATGACAACAGGCTGAGCTGATGCTGCCAAGGTGGTCCATCTTGACACTCAGGAAAAGAAGCAGTTGTATGGGGTCAGCTTGGCTAAACAAGTAATTCACAACTGAGCTACAGTACAAAAATGCAGTATACAGCAGCTGAAGCCAGGAATGACTGAGAACAAGTAACTGTGGAGACACTGTCCAGGCCTGTAGGAATGGTGTTAAAAAAAACAGTCTTCATCTAGAGTTCAGACTTGCAAGAGTTGTTAAATTGTTGTTTTGGAGACAAACAAGAAAAACATGGGACTGCTGCTGGATTCAGCTGGTTTAGTGGCAGCGAACACAGACCAGTGTGAAGTATTTAGTGCCGCCTTTGCCTCAGTCTTTACTAGCAAGATATCAGAGAGACTGTGCTTTGCAGCAGGGCTCAAGGAGGAGAACAGTGCCCAGCACTGGATATAAGTTGAGAAGAAAACTCCAGCCTTTGTTAAGTGGGAAATGGGAAGAAGTCCATCCATAAGGAGAGGGACTAACTATAGTGTTCTTGTTTGCTGTTCTTATAATATGGCTCCTTGGCCTCCAAGCAGCCAAAGCGTACAGGTGTACAGATGATGGGAGATTCTCAGGGGTGCTTGCATTGACTTCAAAATTACAGACTTTGGCACAGGAAAGTGAAACTGGATTGAAAGGAGGATATGACAAATCTGGGGCAAAAATGGATGCAATCAGTCCAATTTAGACAGGTTTTAATGTAGTCAGAGACTTTAATTCTGCCTGGAAATACATAGCGTCCAAAACCAGCTCATGATTTGCAAGCAGTACATTTAATAAGCATCCTGCTACCCGTTGTCCAACAGTGATGGAATGCTCTGCTTTTCCTTGAGATCATGTACAGCTGTGTTTTTTTTGCAAGAAAAGATAAAAGTGGCTAATGAGGTAATAATTATTATTGTGGAAAAACAGGGACAATGGCTAGAATTTAAGGGTATTTAGATGTCTCTAATGATTTCAGTGGGCCTTAGGTGCTCAGTACCTTTAAAAACTAGCTAATCACATAACAAATGAGACACTAATTTAGCAGTTCTCTCAGGAACACAAAACTGTTAGTGTACTTACAGCTTTATAAACAAAGGAATAAGCAAGCACCCTGTGTGGCATATAAAATAATTGCCAGAATCATCCATGTTTTGGAAATGATGAAATGAAAAGGGGATCAGTCTTTTTCTAAATAGCAGAAATATAAATGAAGAGTAATGCAATTAGTTTTTCCTCATATAATTAGGCAGTAAAACTTTATCTCAGATAGGTTAGTGACTTTCCACAAAGATGCAGGAGTAAGTTCTATAGCTAGAATTTCAATTTTCCCATTCCCTTTCTTAGACAAGTCAATCATTTCTCCCTTCTACTGTACACCTTTTAAACATAAATGCAAACAGTTATTTCTGCTTCTCATTCTTATAAACACTTGTTCTTAGTGTGAAGAAATAGCTTCAGTTTTAAAATTATAACTAAAGCTGTAAGTAGATTCCTCAAGAGGCAGACACAAATTATGTATGTGTCCTGGGTTCAGCAGTAGCAGTCATTTTTCTCCTACTTAGTAGCTGGTGCAGTGCTGTGTTTGACTTTCAGCCTGGGAACAGCGCTGATAACACCGATGTTTTTAGTTGTTGCTAAGTAATGTTTAGTCTGACCAAGGACTTTCTGAGTCTCATGCTCTGCCAGAGAGGAGGGGAAGCCGGGAGGAAGCAGAGACAGGACACCTGACCCAAACTAGCCAAAGAGGTATTCCATACCACAGCATGTCATGCCCAGGATGTAGAACTGGGGGCAGTTACCTGGAAGGGCTAGATCCCTACTCAGTCGGGCTGGGTGTCAGTTGGCATGTGGTGAGCGGTTGTATTCTCTTCCCTTGTTATTTCCCTTATCATTATTATTATTGGTGGTAGCAGTAGTGGTTTGTGTTATACCTTAGTTACTGGACTGTTCTTATCTCAACCCGTGGGTGTTACATTCTTTCTATTCTCCTCCCCATCCCTCCAGGAGCGGGGGGAGGAAGGGGAGGGGGGCAGTGAGCGAACTGCTATGTGGTACTGAATTACCAACTGGGCTTAAAGCACGACAGTATCTTATTAAAAGGAGTTCCTTCCCATGTCTGTATAAATGGAGGCAGGTTCAATTTGCAGCTACTTAAGTGCCCATGGGCCATTGTGTGTTTTCACTTTGAATCAGGAACATAATGTACAGGCACACTTTACTTCTCTTTGATACTGTGGGATTTTTTTCTGTTATTAAGAATCTTAGGAATAAGGTTCTTATTTTACTGACCTGTTCTTTGTGCTTTGGAAAGTATGAGGGAGACAAAACTGTTTCCTTTGGGGTTTCTCACAGGTTTCCTAGGATTTGCCACATTAGTGCTCTTGCATTTTAGGAGATCTATGCATCTGACACCTGAAGAAAATTAAGCGTTGGAAAGCTGTACAGAAACTGTAGGCTGCATACCTAGGACCACTCCTGAGACAATACCTGCCTCTGTATCCCATGGACTGAATAGATTTCCGGGGATTAGATGTCTCAGCTGCCCAGTTTCTCATACATGTGCATATTTCTCTAAAAGCAGGATATTTCTGAGGTAGTAGTTGCAGGTTCTCTAAGTTTCTGACCTAGCTACTGTTTCTTTTGAGTAAACCACAGTTCTGATTGGAAAATCAGCTATAATTGCTTAGATCTAAAACATAAGGTTTGGGAGTGTTGTTGTTGCTGTCAGAAACCATTTTAGCCCCAACAAAGTACAACTTCTTGAGAAACACTTCTCATCTGCTATTTCTCAATCACTGAGGTATACAAGTATATTTGAGAAGCAAAGTGCTTATGATTATATCTGCTTTTATAAGTTTAACTGTAATCAGCAGACTAGGAACAGAGTGCACAAGTCATTTTATCTACATTATTTGTGGAGAATTTCTGAGAACACAGGAGTGCTTCTGACCTAGTTAAACTCCTGCTATTTTGAAAATGATTACTGAAAAGCCATCAATACTTCTTGGAGACCACATACTCACTTGTTGCCCGGTAACAAGAAGGATGGAGCCTTCTTTCCCATGTACCACTTGCCGGTAAATGTGATCTAGAATTAAGAGTTCACTCCAGCAGTTCTGAAGCAACTTCATTTGGTCATCAACCTGTAAAGCAAGCATGGTGACATCACTCAGAGAGTAAGTCGTACATCACATTGTGGAGTCAGTCCTTCCTCTAGTTAATGTCATGAGAACGGAAATGCTATCAAAAATTATTCATTCACAAAACTGCTATTCTCAGCTGAATAAATAGGACATTGCTTGCAGCCCTTATCTGTGAAATGTAAAGAATATTTACTGCTGATTACATTCTAGGAAGGCAGAACTACAGTTTTGTTATGCAAAGTAGTAGTAATAACATTATATTTATGCTATGCTCATGGAAATGGGATATTATTTTACCCAAAACAAGAACAGAAATAATGCTAATGTGGAATTTCCCATAATCTCCATCCTTGTACATCAGCTTCTGGAAATAGTAAGGTATCTGTGGGTTTAAGAGCATTATTGCTGCAACAAGTCCATGTCAGAGATAGCTCCCTTTCAAAGGAAAAAGTGAAGTGAGATTGTGGTGGTAGTATGAAAAAAAAAGAGAACTTCTTCATAAACGGAAGCTGAGCAGCTTCAGGTGTCACCAGTGGGGTAAAGCAGTAGTGAGCAGTAAGACATATAATGCATTAGGTCATAGACGAAACGTACTGGGCACTCAGCACAAGCAACCTACGTTAAGTTTTTGTGCACTGTTATTTGGGACGTACGTATGATAGGACAACAGAGTATGTAACTAAACTGTCCCTATTACAACTGGGTTGTCTCCAGTTTTAATCCCTTTAAAGACTGAAAAATAATTAAGGTTTCCACTAATTTGTGATATTTTTTCTGCCATTTCCATGGAAGGCAGAACTATGAATTTTAGTCCTGGTAAGTACCAATACCCTCTGGGCCTGTTCTTACTGAACTTACTGATTTCTTCCTAAAATCAAACAATGTATTTGACTTCAGACGTGTCCTGAAAGAGTTAAGAGATGTGTACATTAGCCTTGCTACAATTAAGTGTCTGGTGCAGGTGTGTTAATAACATGTATATAGTTAAAAGGCCTCTAAGAACCTACATAGATGGCAATTGCTGAACGGATTAAAAATGCTATAAATGAAAATGTGTAAAATTAAATAATAAATTAGCAAAGAGAGCATTTAAAGTGGAGAAATTAAATTTCTGGGACGTGGAACTATTAAAATTGATTTTCAGGAGTTCTAATATCACTTGCTAAATTTCATAATGTGGAGGAAGCCACATCATAATGCAAACTTGTTTGAGCTGAATTAGATAATGCAATAGAGGGTGTCAAATTTTATCAGCTATGACCTAACAGATTTTTGAACTTTATTCTTTCAAGCTTGTTTCCTGATTGTGTAGTAGAGAAGGAAGTAACATTTGTTACTAATGGATTTTTGTAGTGTCACCTCTGAAAGTTACCTAGTATTGTCTGCATCTTGCCAGTCACTTGCCATATAGTTCAGACATCAACATCTTAAACACCAAAGTCTGTCTGCCTCCTTCGCTCAACTTCCTTTCTCTCCATTCAGTCTTCTCCCAGATGTTCTTGTCCCAGTTTCTCTCCTTTAGGTATCTGTCTCAAATTACTCCCTCTTGCTGGACTATGCAAGCAAATGAGATCAGGAGAGAAAGGGAGAAAGCCAGTGGGGAGAAAAGGGCAGAAGAACCTGTGTGCAGCAGATCACATCCTCCTGCCTAGCCTGCACTAGGACCCTCAGTTCTTTCTTTTGCCTGCTCCATGACTGCAACAGGTATCTCTGCTGGAAGACTCTGCAACTCATTCCTTCCACTACTGCTTTACCTACAGGATGATATAATTTTCATGGGGTTTGCTTTAGTTTTAATTTTATTTTAAAATCCCCATCTTTGCTCTTAAAAAAAAATAAAATCTGCATTTTTTAATAACAGCTTTTAATACAAACACACAAAAAGGCTGAATTAGTATTGCGCAAACACTCTCAATTCTGGTATTTCAAATGCTTTGCATGCTGCATGCTTTGGCTTTCCCGTATAAAGAATAACCTATCACACCTGCCTACAATCACCTTTAATACATGTATGCTCAGATAACTCCTATAAGCTACGTATCCATTGGCAATAGTGATGGAGGAAAGAAAGAGGTGTGGACTCTGTAGATAGATATATTACTAAGTCCAGGTAAAGCTAGTGCTGTCACGGACTCAGCCTTGCTCCATCCCTGTGCTGTCTGTGCCCATGATAATTCATTTCTGTTCAGATCACAGAGCAAGGCTGATTCTGTATTAAAGATCTCTTTCTCTCCCCACAGCATGTATTTAGCTACAAAACCATTTCAACCAAGTGACTTGTTAGCTCAAGAGAGGACAGTAAATTTCCATATTGATAGTGTGTCAACCAAACTTGGGACAGGTTTTAAATAAGGCATTATTTGAAGAAAATATTTAAAACTTACAGATTCTAATACTCTTGCTTTTTACATGAAGCTGTTCTGTGATAATTTTCTCCTCTGTACAACAAGGTGTTACTTGTTACAAAAATCAAATAAATCATGCTAGTATGATAATTTCATCCGAAATTAGCATTTCACACAAAGCTATCACAGCTTCCATCTGAATGAAACAAACTGTGAGACAGTTTAAACATTCAGCATCCATGTCATAACAACTAATACCTGAATAAGAGGTCAAGCATTTGATTATATTATAAATGACATATTTCCAGCTAACCCATCCGTCTTAGCCACAGGCTTTTGAAAACAAACTGAGCTTTACAGGTCTGGCTTTCTGAAGGTCCCGACAGCAGCTAGTCTGCAATCAAAGCTTACCTCCCAAGCTTTATCGTATCATTACCGAGCCAGTGCTGTGAGAACAGTAAGAGATGGCAAAATCATAAGAAAAATGTTTTGCACATGGTCTGTTCCTGCTGGTTGACAAGACTCATAAAGCTAGCAACAGCGAACATCTGCTAGTGGTTCACAAAACCTGCTTCTCTGCATTCACTGTAACTTAACCTGTGAAAGCCTGTAAAACAGACAGCATAAAAAGCACATCCAAAACACAGTATTGCCTTCAGAAGACTATTGATTCCAGCTGCTTTTGCCATTTTACAAAAGCTGGTGGGGCAGCAGAATTTCTCCCAGTTTGCACTAGGAAGAAACAGAGATGACTTTAAGGAGGGTCATTGATTACTAAATTGTAATCCAAGGGATCAATTCCAGCTTACTTCTGAAACACATGTAGATGAGAAAAAACATACTTTATCTCTGCTAATATATATGAAGTGAAAAAAAAGAAAACAATTTAGATCACAAGGAATGAAAATGGTAACACATCACTTCTTATGTTAGAATGAGCTGGTAAATCTTACAACGTGTGTAACTTCAGCCAGAACAGGAACACCTTTGTATTTCTGTGGCATATCAATAAATGAGTTGCAGAAACATATTATCTGGCAAAACTAAAAAATCAGCCTTTCACTGAAACATGTACGTGACTTAAAGTGACCCTGTAGGCAAAGAGGCTTAAGTTTTGGTGGCTGAAGTGGAGAATGAGTTATGAAGAGGAAGGTCCTCTGCAGAAAAAGCTCCTTTTGGACTTCAGCTTTCTGGCTCCAAAGTCAAAACATTCCAGTCCACCATTAACAAGGTAAGCAGGAGAAAAGGTAAGATTTTGTCACAAAGATAACTGAGCTCTAGCCTGGGTCTTAGCTATAATCAATATAATTTTCAACTGTGGTATACATTCAATTAGAACAAGCTCATAAACTTGAACTATTGGCTAAACTTTGAGGTTTTTCTGTTTGCGGAGGTCTTTACCAGTATTATCAATGCTTTAACAACAAGAAAAAAGCGCCCTTTGTCTCAACTATAGGGAATGCTTGTAACTAAAAGTTAGCCATCATACAGTCAACAGCCAGTTGCTTCAAGAATATTACCCGAAGTTGCAGCTGCTCGGTGCCATAACAGAAAATTGACATAAAGATAGTGTAACCCAGTTCTTACCTAAGCAAATTGTCAAATGAGATACCCATTTGACAGCTACCTAGCCTCAAGGAAAAGCATGACTGAATACTGTGCCTAGATGGTTAAATTTAGGTTCTCTCTGGCCAGTGGCATTCAGATGAAGACACACCAGTGGGGATAGCATAACTGGAAACTGTTGCTGAAGAAATGTCTTTTAAGGAAAGATATGGAGGGAGGGTGTGTGACTCAAAAGAAATAAGAGATCATTTCTAGCATGCAGGGTGGCATGGAAGAGTAATAATGTTATGAGTATGAAGAGTAAAACATCACACTTGTAGAACTGCTGCTAAGTGACAAGGGAAACAAAGAGAGGGCTTAGGAGGAGGCTTTGAAGGAAGGGAACAGGGAGGCAGTGTGGTGAGAGAAGACATAAGGGAAGTTGAATGTCAGGTAAAAATCTTGAACATGAGGATGATGAGATTGGATGAGATGCAGACTTAAATGGTTTGTGTGACAGTAAGCAATGCTGCTGGCACAAAGAAGGAACAAGCACTTTGTGTTTAGAGCAGAGGATAGCAATTGTCACTAGCACAGGCAGGAGAAATCCCAGAGGTGAAAGTGCACATGTGCATTGTCTACTTTCTCAAACAGTATGGGTACAAAGATGGAGCAAGGGATAGCTTTCTGATAGCATTAATACATGGCAGTAGGTAAATCCTATTTCCTGTACCATCATCCTATTTACATATGCTTACAGCAAGGACAAAGTAAGCATGTCAGAATTTGGTGTTTTCCATAACCGTGTATCTCACGCTTGTTGGGACTACTTGTGGTATATTCCCCAAGTCATAATCTGAAAGACAAATGGTCATTGACACAATCACCCAGCACCACCCCACTGTGCTGCCTACTACCAGCCTACCAGAATAAACTAATGTAAGAACATAGCTCATGATGCAGAAAGGGTCTTCCAGCATCAGGAGTGCTGATAGCTAAACAGATCAAGATGGTGAAGGAGACACTGTGCAGTCACTTTTCCCATGCAATATCCACAGACAGGTGTTTTATGTACAGGCAAATGGCAGGATGTAATGCACTATATTCTGA